TATTAATCATATGTTTAGATTTAATAATATATTATATTAAAAGAATTATTTATTAACTTAATATAGTGATGGTTAATACGGGTAAACCATATATAAGCAATATTTCACTTTTAGAATATTATACCTTAATTATAAAAATTCTACCTAATAATTTTAGTATTAAAAGTCATACAATAATTACCATAAACAATATTTAATAATTGCCAAATTCTATTATGCAATAAAAATTACTATTATAAGATTTTTTGTAATATGGACACATTATTTTTAATTATTTTGATTTAATAATATTATATCTTATGTATAAAAATTCAAATAATACTTTTAGTACTATTGAATATTGATTGACTAACAATTATTTTAATTACTAAGGCAATTAATGGATATTTCGATTTAAAAAGTTTTCAAATATATGAATTATACATAGTAGCATTGAATCAATTAGTAAGACAATTATATTAGGTAATCTAATAAATAACTTACTTTTTAAATTATATCTCATCTTTAATCTTTAATAATGAATATTTTCTTAAAGTATATACATAGACTATGGTTATCAATATAAAATTAAAAGTATATATATATATATATATATATATATATATATATATATATATATATATATATATATATATATATATATATATAATGGATAATATTATTAGTACAAAATAAGTTATATTTACCTTAATAATTAATTATTAATATTATTACCTAATAATTATATATTGTTACCTTTTTCGGTGTAATTATTATGGTAATTTATATACATATATATTTTTATACTTAATGTATAATATATTGGCATGAAAAAAATTATACTTATCTTAATATATAATTAATTTTTAATATAATTTCTTTATTTTTTTTAAAGATAATTATTTTGATAATTTTTCTTTCATTATTTTGTGTGATTATTATGGTAATGTATTTCAATTTTGGAAGAGATTATTACAAATATTATAATTAATATATGTAATATAATTAATGAAATTATTATGGTAATTGTCACAATATTTGGTAATTATACTTAATATAATTAAAGAAATTGAGAAATATAAGATTTCTTCCCTAAAAATATTTGTGACAATTTAGTTAAATTACAATTAATAAAATATGAAATATAATTAAAGAAATTAAATTATTAAATTAACAAAACATGAATATTTCTAATCATACATACACTTATGCACTATAATAATCATGCAAAATTTAAATGCAACTTTTTAAATTTTTAAATGTAATTTTTTAATTATAAATCTATCCATATAAATTATAATTAATGAAATTATATTATAAAATTTTCCTATTTTCATTTTAATAAATATTATGTGTATATAAAATGAATTATACAATCATATAAGGAAATGCGTCGGATTAGAGTTTAAATTTATTCATACAAATTTTAGAATTTACATTTTTTTTTATAAAACTAATCAAATGTTAATGTTAATAATAATAATAAGAATTTTAAAATCAGAATTATAAATTAAGTATTAGGGTAATAATTAATCTATATATTATTATTATTTTTTTTGAATGCTACTAGCTCTATTACATTGTAGTATCTGTTCATATACTTTCTCAACCTACTGAAACACAAAGAGCCAATAACGCCTCCACTGAGGCTCGAACTCACAACCTTCCAAATGAAAGTCCAACCCGAATACCATTAGACCATATAGTCTTGGTATATTATTATTATTATTATTATTATTATTATTATTATTATTATTATTATTATTATTATTATTATTATTATTATTATTATTATTATTATTATTATTATTATTATTATTATTATATAAAAACAAAATCATACCTTTTCAAAAAAAAAAAAAAAAACAACAAAATCATCCAATTTCATTTTTCCGCCCAAACTTTTGTAGTAAAGCTTATTTGGTAAGTAAATGTCTAATGGAAATTTAAAAAAATCTATTAATTGGTAATATTGCATAATTGGTAACATTACGTATGGTATTATATTCTATAATATAATAATATAATTGATAATATTATTGTTCAAGTATAATAAAAATCCTATGTAATAATGTAATAATAAAAAAATAAAAATAAAATTAAAATAATAACAATAACAATAACAATAACAATAATAATAATAATAATAATAATAATAATAATAATAATAACAATAACAACAAATTTAATAATTCAAACAAAACTATATACAAAATAAATTTAAATTAAAAACAAAAAAAGAAAAAAAAAAAAAGGAAGAAGACAAAGGTGGCTTCCCTTTGTAAATGATGTGGGATCATTTTGATTCCACATTGAAAATGTTTGGAAAGATGAGCTCTTAAACTCCTCTATATAAGAGGGACATTTACAAACATATAATTGCTTGCCCATCAATATGGGCAAGTATTGAGAAGTCCAAAGACTTTTATTTTTTTTATTTTTTTTATTTTTTTTATTTTAGTACTATTAACCTGACAAATTATGCCGTGGATATGTGTCCACCTTGCAATGTAGACACAGTTCAAAAATTGTTCATAATTATTAATATATAATTCAAAAAATTATGAACATCTATAATTATGAACATAGTGTTGTGAACATAATTATGAACATATAGTTATGTAATCATGAATATAGAGATTCAATAATTGTGAATATGAAGTTAAAAATTATGCATATATATCTTTATAATTATGAACATATAGTTCAGTAACTATGAATTTAGAGTTCTGTAATTATAAATATAGAGTTCAATACGTACTTATGAATATGAAGTTCCAAAATTATGAATATATAGCTTTATAATAATGAACATATAGTTTAGTAATTATAAACATAGAACTGTGTCCACCTTGCAAGGTGGACACGGTTCCACAACATAACTATTCGATTGACCCTGTAACATGTAAACTTTCTCAACCTATTGAAACCCAACGTGTCAAAGGGCTCTTATTTAAGAAACCTTATCTTAATGGCTTCTTATTTTAGTTTTTTTTTTTTAATTTTTTTTTAAAATTTATTAGGGGGTTTGAGAAAGATTAACCCAAAATGTATATGAGTTGTTTTAGTTTTTAGCAGTTTGGAGCAAATTGCTAAGTTATTAAATAATATTTTTGGTGTTTTGATTAAATATAAAATGTTAAACAGACGAATTTATTAAAATTTTGACGAATTTGCCAAATAATCAGATTACAACAACAACAACAATAATAATAATAATAATCCAAAAAAAAACTATATACAAAATAAAATTAAAATTAACCCAAAAAAAAAAAAAAAAAAAAAAAGACAAAGGCGAGCCACCGGCACCCTTTGTAAATGATGTGGGATCATTTTGATCCCACATTTAAAATGTTTGAAAAGAGAGAGCTCATATATATAAGAGGAGCAATGAGACTCTTATAAACATAATTGCTTGCCCATCAATGTGGTCAAGTATTGAGAAGTCAAAAGGTTCTTATTTAAGAAGTTTTAACTTTGTCTTCTTATTTTAGTTTTTATTTATTTATTATTAGTAGGGGTTGTGGAAGATTAACCCAAAATGTATGTGTTGTATTAGTTTTTAGCTGTTTGGAGCAAATTATTGAGTTATTATATAATATATTTTGATTTTGATATTTTGATGTTTTGATTAAAGTTAAAATGTTAAAATGACGAATTTATTATAATTTTGGCGAATTTATCAATAATCAAATTACAAATAATAATAATAATAATAATAATAATAATAATAATAATAATAATAATAATAATAATAATAATAATAATAATAATAATAATAATCCAAACAAAACAATATACAAAATAAAATTAAATTTAAAATTAAAAATAATAAGAAGAAGACAAAAGGGATCCACGGGCTCCATTTGTAAATAATGCTAGATCATTTTGATCCCACATTGAAAATGTTTGGAAAGAGGAGTTCTTGAGCTCCTCATCCCACATTGAAAATGTTTGGAAAGAGGAGTTCTTGAGCTCCTCTTACAAACATAATTGTTTGACCATCAATGTGGGCAAGTATTGAGAAGTCCAAATGCTCATGTTTTATTTTTGAGTACTATTGACCCGACAAATTATGATGTGAAACTATGTCCACCTTGCATGGTAGACACGGTTCCAAAATTGTTCATAATTATCAATATATATTTCTATAATTATGAACATATAGTTATGTAATTATGAATATAGAGATTCAATAATTGTGAATATGAAGTTCAAAAATTATGAATATATAACTTTATAATTATGAACATATAATTAAGTAATTATGAACATATAGTTCTGTAATTGTGAATATAGAGTTCAATAATTATGAATATGAAGTTCAAAGATTATGAATATATAGCTTTATAATTATGAACATATAATTTAGTAATTATTAACATAGAATTGTGTCCACCTTGCAAGGTGGACACGGTTCCACAGCATAACTATTCGATTGACCTGTTACATATAATATATGTTCACCTATTGAAGCCCAACAAGTCAAAAGACTCTTATTTAATAAACCTTATCATAGTGGCTTCTTATTTTAGTTTTTTTTTTTTTAAATTTATTAGGAGGTTTGGGAAAGATTAACCCAAAATGTAGATGTATTGGTTTAGTTTTTAGCAGTTTGAAGCAAATTGCTAAGTTATTAAATAATATGTTTGGTGTTTTGATTAAATATAAAATGTTAAACATTTGAATGTGTTAAAATTTTGTCGAATTTGCCAAATAATCAAATTACAACAACACGACGACGACGACAACAACAACAACAACAACAACAACAACAATAATAATAATAATAATAATAATAATAATAATAATAATAATCCAAATAAAATTAAAATTAACAAAAAAAAAAAGACAAAGGAGAGCCCGTCCCTTTGTAAATGATATGAGATTATTTTGATCCGACATTGAAAATGTTTGAAAAGATAAGCTCTTGAACTCCTCTATATAAGAGGTACAAACATAATTGTTTGTCCATCAATATCGCAAGTATTGAGAAGTTAAAAAATTCTTATTTAAGAAACCTTAGATTTGTCTTCTTATTTTAGTTTTTATTTATTTATTCATTATTTATTATTTATTAATTATTAGTGGGTTGGGAAAGATTAACCCAAAATGTATGTATTGTTTTAGTTTTTAGCAGTTTAGAGCAAATTATTAAGTTATTAAATAATATTTTTGGTGCTTTGATTAAAGATAAATTGTTAAAATGACGAATTTGTTAAAATTTTGGTGAATTTTTCAATCTCAATTTTTTAAAATTGTCAATAATAATAATAATAATAATAATAATAATAATAATAATAAAATAATAATAATAATAATAATCATCATACATCATCATCATCATCATCAATCATCATCATCATCATCATCAATCATCATCATCATCATCATCATCATCATCATCATCATCATCATCATCAATCATCATCATCATCATCATATCATCATCATCATCATCATCATCATCATCATCATCATCATCATCATCATCATCATCATCATCATCATCATCATCATCATCATCATCATCATCATCATCATCATCATCATCATTCATCATCATCATCATCATCATCATCATATCATCATCATCATCATCATCATCATCATCATTCATCATCATCATCATTCATCTCATTCATCATCATCATCATCATCATCATCATCATCATATCATCATCATCATCATCAAACAAAACGATATACAGAATAAAATTAAAATTAGAAAAAAATAAGAAGAATGATGTGGGATCATTTTAATCTCACATTGGAAATGTTTGGAAAAAGGAGCTCTTGAAAATGTTTACAAACATAATTGCTTGCCATCAATGTGGGCAAAGGAGTGAGAAGTCCAAAGTTTTTTTTTTTGTTTTTTGTTTTTTTTTTTTGGTTTCCTTTTTGTTTGGAAGTAAATGAATATTAAAAATAGAAAGAAAATATTTCAATAATAATATTTCACATCATGAAGGAGTAAATGCATATTTTTAAAAATAGTAAATGTAAATTAAAAATGGAACGAAAATATTTCATTAATAATATTCTACATCATCAAATTTAAATTTAACGGAAATTAGGTAAAAATATTAATACATCTATATTCTAATTGACTAATTGACTGAAAATAATAAAAAAATAATTGACTGAAAATAAATCTAATATTACTAATTGACTGAAAATTTTAAAAGGAAATGAATATTAATAATTGACTGCAAATAAAAAAATGCTCCATAATTGACTAAAAAAATGACCAGATCATTGCATTTTAATTAAAAATGGAATGAAAATTAAAAATTGGAGAAAAATATTTCAATAATAATATTCTACATTATCAATAGTAAATGCATATTTTAAACAATAGTAAAGGTGAATTGAAAATGAAACGGAAATATTTTAATAATAATATCTACAATTCTACATCATCAATTAAAAATGGAACGAAAATTAGGTAAAAATATCATTACATTTGATATTCTAATTGATTAATTGACTAAAAATAAAAAAGAATAATTGGCTGAAAATGAATCCGATATCACTAATTTATTGAAAATATAAAAGGATAACTAATCGAGTAATATTCTACCACTATATATTTTAATCCAAGTAATCTGTCCTGATGGATTGAAGGTGTTAGCTCTAGACGAAGATGAATAGGATTGTGTTGTCATTACCAATGTCGTCTACAAAGAGGTTTCAATAATGTGTAAATATAATCGGTGATATTAAGTTTTTTTTAAATGAAAAAATTGTTATATATCTGGACAAAAAAATATATCTTCCATACAAATGAATAAGGATACCAATTCATTTCTATAACTGAGTTGTCAGAGAACGAGCACATTTTACTAATTTATGAAAATTCTAAACAATGATAAATAAAATCTTCAAAGTTATAGCACCGTATGCGTACATCTAGACATTAGCTATTAATTTGAGCAATTATTTGCACAAATTCAAGCAATGATACCATCAAAATATATAAACGATCCAAACCATATATTTAATTGCACTATATAATATTTGATGTTCTAATTTAAATAATTATATATCGATTCATATATTCTTAATATATTACAACAAATCAATTCCGTGCATCGCACGGGTGCAAATACTAGTATAGAATTATAACTACAACATTAATCTAATTCTAATATTAAAGTCTTAATAGAACTCTAACCACCGAAATCTCCTCAAACAATATTAGTATATATTTAATATTTTATGCTTTAATTTTTATTTGTTCTCGCTTATGTCCCGTATTTGGTTTCAACCATACCCATACAATTATTTTATTGACAATTATAATCAATCTTGACTATATTATCTTGCATTTGTAAACTTAGAATTACCAATTTAAATACGTAAATTCAACATTCAATTATCTATGCATGAACAATTCTAATATAATCTTGCTTTGATATATTTTAAAATATTTATTTAAGAAAAATATTAGGCAGTATTCCAATCGCGCAATGCGCGTAAAAAACTAGTATATAGTATATACACATGAATATTGTTGAACAGAATCAAAACAAAGATACTAAAAAGGGTATTGGATAAGTAGCCCTGAATTGGAATATCCTGTCTCTGATGTAAACCATCTAAAAGTTTTAAAACCTGAAATGCAACTAATTAATATAAAACACATCAATTAAATCAATCAAGAATATATATATATAGTAGGATCTATCTTAAATTAGATCATTTTCCCAATGCTTCCCACTGTTAATGGTGGATTTGACTTTGCTGTTACCTTGTGTCAGGAACTAAAAAGGGTCATTGATATAGGAGCATGGCTGATACAAAACTTTTGACCTGCAAACACCATTAACAGTGAAATAAAAAAGAGAGGGATGGTGTGACGGGTTTAGGTCAATTGTTTAAAGGTTACTTTGAAAATTTTGTTCTAGTGGTTGGGTGAGGTTCGATTCTCACTGAAGATATAAGGATTATTGGGAGATTCAAAGCTCAAAAAGGTAAAAAGACTCCTGGTATGTAGAGTATATATGCAGGGGTGGGGTGGAAACTGTGGACTGATTGGGTGAATTGGGATTTACCTCCTTCAGCGTACTTGGGCAGGTGTTTTGGGATTATGGAGCATCCTCGAGTATGGGTATTGGGAGTCCTTAGACCATCCACAATAGTTGATATGGAGCATCCTCGAGTATGGGTATTGGGAGTCCTTAGAGCATCCACAATAGTTGATCTCCGTTGCGATTTAACTATTTTAAAAAAGAATTAATGTTACATGTCAGGCACGCCACGCAAGAGTTGAGCTGCTGAGGCATTACCATTTTACTGCAATAACTCAATCCCTTGCAGATGCTCTCCACTTTTCTCTATCTTGCTTCTCTCTCTCCTCAACCATAACTTTTTCTTAGAATTTATGCATTATCTACTATTGTTGATGCTCTTATAGATTCAGAATTAATTAGTTTAATTAGCATAAGCTGTGAAAGTATTAAAAAAAAAAAAAGTTGGGGTGTTGTGAGTTCTCCTAAAATCTCGTTTGGATGTCCCTCTCACTCCGTAGGGTGTAGCAACGTCCTAAGTTTGCCATAAAGACAGCTCCACTGTTGGCTTCCTGGAACATATGCTAGCTGTATGTTCATGATTCTGCCTCAACCATATTAATTAATGACTGAGTTACTGAGCAAATGTACTGAATGTTGCCTGCCATCATATACTATACTCTAATTAAATAAAAGATGTACTGCAAATTATATTAATACACATATACTACACTATTTAATTTGGTTCTAAACAATTAAATTGTATATAAGAACGTGTTTGGTTTATAAGTTTACACACCTACATGAATGTGAATCAAAATCATATTTAGTGTTTGGTTCAAAATTTTTTAAAATACAATTATGGGATTTGATTACTCATTCAATTAAAAACATCATTCCCTAATTAAAAATCGGTATCATTTCATCTTATTGGTAATATGATTTTTAAGTTTGGATTAGTGCTTTTAGATTTTTTTTTTTGTTTGTTTATATTAGTGTTTTAGATGTCGTTATATTAGGATCAAATGACTTAATTTTTTATTTTTGTATTTTTAAAACCTTTATTCCCATTATAGAATCATACATAATAGTGATAATCACTCTAATTCTACCCTGCTACCAAATGTGCAAAACATTTTAACCAAAACTCATTATCATTACCATGTATTTGATTTCCATTTCAATTATGATTCCCTTGTACAAACCAAACAGACCCTAAATCATGCCAATTTAAACATACCAAGTCTCTACACATTAAAGATGTACTTGTTAAGAAAAAAAAAAAGAGATGTACTTGTTACATATTCAATATGTGGCATTAAATAATTACTCTACTGTTTCTCTCTATCACAAATCAGAATTTTCAAACCATTTAAAAAGTTAATTACCGAATTAGTCCATTGATTATAGCAAAATTATCAATTTTGTCCTAGACTATTTTTCTTGACCAATTAAATTTGGTCCTCCGTTTATTTTGCCGTTAGACATCCGTTAAATCAGGACCAAATTGGTAATCTTTCTACAGTCAAGGAACCATTTCGATCATCACATGCACCATTTTCTCCAAAAATTAATTACTGAAATAGTCCCTTGACTATAGTGAAATTATCAATTTGGTCCTGAGTTAACAGATGTCTAATTGCAAAAAAACGGAGGACCAAATCGGTTAAGATTTTTAAAGTTGAGAGACTTAATTGATCAAAAAAAATAATCAAAATCCAAATTGATAATTTCACTATAGTCAAGGGACCATTTCGATAATTAACTCCCATTTAAATTATTGACTCTAGAAACAATAAGATACAATTGTTGGGAGAAGAATAAGATAAAATTGCTTGGGAATGAAAATTACCGGAGTAGTCTCTTATCACAAATCAGATATGGATTTACCTTGATTTTGTTAAAAGAATATACAAAATAGACAAGGGAGAAAGGAGGATCATTTCTATTCATTCATCTCCTTCCTTCTTATTACAACAATACATATATGTAATATACATTTGTAACGGAAGGTAATAAT